AAAGTTCAAAACCCGTGTCGATATATCATTTCAGATTGTTCATAAAATCAAAACCCATATCTTTTAATTTTCATCGCCGCTGTTCCAATTCGGGTTCGCCGTTCGCAAGCTTCAGCCACTGGCCGTCTCTCACTCTCTCTGCAACTGCTAACTTGTATGTATATGTAATCTTGAGGACAAATTAGGCATCACAAATAATATATCAATCATCTCCTTCACTTTCCTTCCTTTTCTCTCATTTTTAGAAGGATAAGCAAAACAGTGTTCAGGTCTTGTGTTAACCCTCTAAACCCTTCCCTTTCCTTCCAACAATTTTTGCCAAACACAAATTTTTAGTCCCCCCCCCCCCCCCCCCCCCAATCACTTTCCCTTCCCTTTCCTCCCTTTTTCATTGCACCAACCTGACCCTAAGATAATGTAAGAAGATCTTGTTTGTTCCTTGGGCCTGATCAATTGCTATTACCCATTCAACTTGGGCTGGACTTACTCTTTGGGAAACATCGGCCGAGATGGGCTAGCTTAGGCATATCTTTTTCTGGGCTTCCACTTGGTCATTTGTCTTGCTATCATTGGTGCTTTGTCTATATAGGTGTCTTATTCAGATTGGAGGAGATATTTTCCTCCACAAAATGTTATTAACTTAAATTGTTGTTTTGTAAAAGAAAAATGAAGCCCTTGTATTTTCACTCACACAATATTCCATTGACATCTTTCAAATGATTTGTCATTGCTATGGATAAAATTTATGAGTTATTTTGAATGTTGCATAAGTTGTTTTTAAATTCGTAACTTAAATTGTAATATTTATTTTGTAAAATTACTAAGAGTCTGTTTGGTACACGTTTTTGTTTTTGGTATTTTTATTTTTGTCGCCTGTAGTAGCGAACAGTGAAAAAAACGCATTCAATAAATTTTTATTTATTTATTTTCACAGTACCAAAATGTTTAGTTAATAGTAACTAAAAATCATACACCAATTTGATGTTTTTACAAGTTTCAGTATTGTAGCAACGGTACAACATCGAAGATAATTTTTTTAAAAATAAAAATAAAAACTCATTAAATTAACAATTATATTTTTCAAACTTGCAACATAATTTTCTAAATATATTTTTATATTTTTATTTCTAAAAATCTTACGACAAATAAAACATGTTCTGGTTACTATTCAAAATACTCTATAACAAAATACTTAATTTATTTTGAATTAGCATAAAAACAAAAAAATAACACGGCTTAGACACTATTTTGAGTGGGGCTTAATTTTTAATTCATTCAACGCTGCTAAGGTTATCAAACAACCCAAGTTTTTGTCGTCTCTTTTCTTCACTAGTGTATATATAATTAGTGTAGTGATAGAGAAATCGAAGTTTTTACCGAAAGAAACACCAAAGCTGATGTGAATTTGGCCACGTAAGACTCTTTCATTACGCGTGAGACGCTAGCTCCTCACTTTTCCTTTCACTCTCTTCCTCTTCATTTCTCTCTCCTCTCCTTGGTTTGCTTCATCATTTTTCTCTTGAAATCTGGTAATTAAGTATCTTTATCCTTTAAAATGAACCCCAAGAGATAAATTATTGTATAAGAGTGGGTCCAAATCATTTAGATAGAAGGTATACACATATTGAAAGTATTATAAATAAAAGATCCAAATATGATTATACCTCCACCAAATATAAATACTTTTTTATTCTCACTTCTTGTTCAATACCTCTTAGTCTTCTCTTTTCTTTTTGGCATCTAGAATTCTGATTCATACACCTTTCAAGAAGAGATCTGTCCAATCCCAAATGAAAAATATGCATAAGAATTGCCATTACAAAAAAAAAAATAAAAAAAAAAATAAAAAAATAAAAAACTGCTGCTGATGGGAAGAAGAGAAATCGGTGAATCTCTATATATATTCGAGCATTAATTAGGTTTAGTAGCCCCATGGGCCAACCCAACAACTAGAAAGACAAGACCTGCCCAAGCCCTTACTCGCCGAGCTTTGACTAATCAAAATGAAAAAAGAAGGTTCAGGTTATAACTTACAATAGATGTTAAAGTTGATTTGAAAATTTCAATCTTAGGCCATCTAACAATTTTACAGTGAAAGAGATTGAATGAGACGAAAGCTCCCATCAGCTAGATATCTTCGGCTCCTTATTTATTCAAACTATTCGACGTTAATGGGTTTAGCCTTGTCTAGGAGATGTCTCATTCTAAATGAACTAGAATTCATTTTCTGTGATTATGCAAGTGAAGAAGATGGAATAGATCTCATGCACATGCACACGTACGCTTGGAAGCAAAGAAATAAGATGAAGAAACCCTTGGGCTTTTTGGGCTTTTTGCTAGTGCTTAAATTTGCACTAAAAGCCCAAACAAATTGGTATTATAAAAAACTAATATCAATCAAACCCAAATCAATCGTATATGTTCAATTTGATGTAAGTTATACTAAGAACCACAATGATTTTAACACATAAGAGTTTGGACGGTTGAGGCTCTACATCCTTCGACAACGTAGCGTAATGTGAAACACGGTTGAGCGTATATGGAAGAAGTAAAACTCATTTTCATGTGAACATCATTATGTATTGCAATTATATGTCTTAACCTACTTCACTAACATATATCCGATCAGAGTACATTATCTCTTCATTCTAAAAGAAGTAGAACTCATTTTCACGTGATTGTGCAAGTCAGACAATTTTAACCAAAAAAAAAGTCAGACAAGAAGAAGATGAAATAGATCTCATGCACATGCAGGCTTATTGTCAGGTAAGCTCAAACAAACCGATAATAAATATCAAATAAGATTCCTTTTTCAGTTTGATATTTGGTTCTTAATACAAAGTTTTGGTAAATTTAAAATTATAATAACAAGAAGTTATCAAAATTTAAAATTATTATAAGAAATGAACAACTACAAAATTTTTTGGTAAGTTATCATGATCATTTAAAATATATTTATTTATTTATTTATTTTTGGGATTTAACTCTCTTTTTAAACTCATCCATAACCCTATTAGAATGAACATATATACCAGTCGTTAAATTGACATTCATAGGAGGGAGGAATTCCCTATATGTAAATGATCATGATAACTTACCAAAAAACCAAAAGAAAAAATTCTGATAAATTTTTTTCAAGAAATTGTTTTTGTAAACTTTCATAATATGTGTTCACTTTAACATCCGGAAAATATATACGATAATTTTTTATTTTATTTTATTTTATTTTATTTTGAAAGCTAAATTTAAATATTTAAAATGCCCAAAAGAATGGGCCATGGTAACAAAAGTAGGTCTTAGCCCAATTTTTATTTTATTTTATTTTTTTCTATTTTGAAATTTTAAGCAACGGATAATAATATGGAAAATAATAATTACACGCCAATGAACCAAAGCTTGCAGAAAGCCCAAACAAGAAGAAACAACCCCAAATTAGTGCAACAAGGCCAAACCAGCAAACAAAACAAATAACCGCAATTAAGGTTGCTAAAGAGCTGTTAATGGTGGTTATTAGTTACACTTCCGGTGACTAACCCTAGATTGAGATGATGATGCTTGTGGTGGTGGAGGAAAGCTTAGTCCGGAGGGCAAGGGGGAAGCCGACAACAGGACGGCGATACGTTCCAGTCGCAGAGGATCCTTGTAGCAGCGCAGTTCTTGAGAGGGAGCCCAATTTGAGGAGAGAGGTTACGGTGTACAACTCTTTGTTCAGACTTTTTCCCTGTGGTTTTACCCTTTTGATGCACACTAGTATGAACAAAAAAAATCACTGCAAGGGAAGGTAGCTGATCCGAGCCATGCAAGAAACAAAAAAGTGTAAAAAAAACAATAGCCAAAAGTGAAAGAAGCATCTGGATCACATCCTTTTCACGAAGAACGTTACGTGTGAGTTTAACTTGGAGATGAAAATCTTCTTTCATTTCTGGGAGACGTTTCTCAACAGTGAAGTAGAAATAGAATTTGGAAACACAATTGCATGTGAAAATTTTGACACTTCAGTTCATTTAAACTCTTCAATGTGAATATCATTACTCTATTAAGAAAGAAAGACCAAGATATGGCTTAACAGTAAGGTTACCGAAACAATAGAAGAAAAAGAGCTAAATATACCACTCCAAAAAATTTTAGCGATACACCCTTGAAAGAAATTTTATCAAAGAACAATTTTCCATTCGGTTACATAATATGTAACTCTGAATCCACATATATGTATTTGCTAAATAGCATTTACACCTGTCTCAAGCTACTACACGCACATTCAGACTAAATCAAGCTTAGAGCTTGGAGTAAAAAGGGAAAAAAAAATGGAGTAGGAAGAGAAAAGAAAGAGACCGGATGGAGGGAGAGAGAAATGAGAGGCCACAGAAATTTCTTTGCAAAACAGTATTTACAGGGAATGCATTTTAATTTTCCAATTCATACTACATTTTCTCTTCATTCTAAATGAAGTAGAACTCATTTTCATGTGATTATGCAAGTCAGACAACGCTCAGCAAGTGAATAAGATGAAATAGATCATGCACATGCACACTTGAAAGCAAAGAAATAAGATGAAAAAACCTTAGGCTTATTGCTATTGCTCAAATTTACACTACAAGCTCAAACAAATTGGTAATATAAAAAACCAATATCAAACCCCATTCCTTTTTCATGCTTGATATTGGTACAGATTAATACAAATTTTCAGTACTTAATTTTTAATTTTATCAAAATAGCACACTATCTATTGGGGTTGCACATAAAACCGATTGAGCATTACTCTAAGGTTTCCTAATTTATTAACATTAAAACTAACCACAATATTTAGGACTATTTCTTAACAAATTTACTATAATCAATGTTGAGCTATACTTCTAAGCTAATCAAACAAAAACAGCCAAGTTGGCAAGCAAGCTTGCTTAAACACAAATGTGGTTAATTAGCTCTTTTTTTTTAAAAAAAAAAAGAATACACTAATTTTTCCAATTGCACAAAAATACTTATATAAATAGTAATTCAAGTGAAGTTAGAATAAGTAATAGATTCCCCAAAAGCTTTCATATAAGGTCACTCAAACAAAATAATAATCATCATCCAAATAGAGATAACATGATTGATAGCCAGTAAATGACCATATAATTAAAAACATTTATCCCACATACTTCTATACTTTGTCGGCCTCATCTTCCAGCAAATTTTTGGTGGCCGCCTCCTCTTCATGGTGATGAAGGAGACCCTTTAACATCCTTAACAATTTGATGCACTCTGGTGCAATAACAACAAATTGTTTGCAAACCCCGATGGTAGCTACGAGACAGATAAGAAAAAAACCAATTGCAGTAGTACAATTGTCAATGAGAGAGCCAGTGCTTTGTAGAATTTGTAGAATACAAAACATCAGCAAAGGCACTCCTACCACAAAGTACACACAGTATAGCACTGTAACAAATGCCAATAACACACAGCATATCACTTCTGACCTATCCTCCATCAGATCGTCGTTATCACTTCCTCTGCCGAAAGACCCTAGAAAGGACAATCCCCAATCTAATTAGGGCTTCTGCTATAATATGTAGATATTATATTTATATGGGTAAAGGGCAATAAACCCCCTCAAACTATGCTCTCTTTAGCAAGAAACTCCCTTAAACTTTTATTTTTACAATTAACCCCCTAAACTATCCCTCTTTTTGCAAATATCCCAATTCCGTTCAAATTCCGGTGAATTATCAACGTTAAAGTGGTGTGTGACATCACATAAGCTAAGCATAAATTTTAAATGGCAAGAATAACCTTATTACCCATTTAAATCGGGTTGTCTTTTGACCCGATTTAAAACCCACTCCAACTCCCAAATCTAGTCAGCTTCGTCAAAGAAACTCCTTCTCTCTACCAGACTCTCTCTCTCTCGTTCTCAAGCAGATCCTACCAGCAGATCCGATGGCGGCGAAGATCAGCCGAGGAATATAACAGCAATAGATTCTGATGGTGACAGCAAGAATCAACACGGTGGCAACAAGGTTGAAAGTCTGAACTAATGACGATAAAGCCTGATAATCGGCGATCGTGATGGCGATGGTGTTTCGACGGCGAGACCCACCAACGTGCCTGTTGCAGCGGCAGTTGTTTCAGTGAAAGTTCTCTTATATGGGTTTGGCGATGATGGGTTGAGAATTTTACGTTCGCTATTGGGTTTGCCTGGTGATCACTCTTGGGGTTTTGCGATTGGTTTGCTTGTTGATCGACGACAACATATTTTTTAGATTTTGCGATTGGGATTACTTGATGATTGACAACATATTCTTGGGTTTTGTGATTGGGTTGGCAACTTTTGTAATTGGATATTGCCGCTAGAGTTTGGGGTTTTGTGATTGGGTTGCCGATGATTGCGATTCATAGCCAGAGATTGTATCGAAGGAGAGATAACACTGTGATGTTTGGGATATTTTTAGTTGCTGGCTTTCGGTGTAAATTTGCCCTGTTACTGTTTTTTTTTTTTTTTTTTTTTTTTTTTAATTGCTTTTCTTGTTGTGCATTTGGTTGCTTATGACTATTTGATTTTGGCAAATTTAGGGTTTCAATAGTCACTGGTCAGAGCAACAAATTTAGGGTTTCAATGATCAAAGAGATGGGGATTGTTTGGCGCGAATTTTAGCAAAAAGCACACATAACAGTAATATGTGATAAAACTTGATGTGCTGTCAATGTTGGCAGGAGGGATTACATCAGCAGATGAAGGTTAAAAAACAACAAAATGACATACCAGTTTATTGTAAGGGCAAAATGGTCAATTCATTTTTCTGTCAACTGCTGTTAGACTACTGTCCTTAAATTGCACATTTTTAATAGTTGAGGGGGGGGGGGGGGGGGGGGGGGGGGGGGGCAATTGTTAATATAGGGGGGTTTTGTGAAATACTCTAATAATTCAGGGGGGTTTATTGCCTTTTACCCTATTTATATATAGAATTTCCAATCATATCGTCTAAAATTCAAAATATGGGAGTGTGGATTTTGGAGATCGACATGGAAGATGCATGAGCGTTCATAGATTCATATATTAGTGTTTGAATATATATATATATATATATATATATATATATATATAATAGAACTTTCTCAGTTTTCTCTGCAAAATCATTAAAGTCCAAGGCAAGGTTCAATCAACAATCCTTGAAAAGAAAGAATTAATATAAATGAAGCCAGAATGATTGCCTTGTAACATGCATGATTTCAAGCAATACACTATGTGGAATAACAACTGGCCAGCTATAATTCCACTTTGATTATCCAATTTATCATGCCTTTATTGTTCTAAGGCTCTAAGGTAAGGGGTAAATCGTCTAGTTCAAGCATTCCATAAATTTTCAAAATTCAATAATCAACCAAAACCAAATGAAATTATATTCAAATTGATCAAAAAGGAGATAAAAATTATCGAGTAAAAAAAAAAAATCAATTTCAGATTGGAAAAAGCACCCAGTACCATAGATTGGAATTATTGGATGAGTTACTTACTCACTTGTAATCTTTATGGCGCTGCTCGTGATGAAACTGAAGCTAATCTCCAAACCCAAATCTTATCTTTCGACTTCGAGCTTTCGAGGAGCGACAGGAGCCCTAGAACACAATTCGTTTTTTCATTTGTTTTTCTTGATACGAAAGCATAAAAGGGGTTAAGAAATTCAGTGGGTAAAAGACAACCAAAGGGCCCATAAACCCAAAAGTTTTATTTCTATTATGGGCTTTATTTCTATTATGGGCCAACATTTTTATTAGAGAAACTAGGAACCTTGTGTTGGGATTTTATAACCACGCGAACCTTAAGTTAATTACTTCTTTCCAAGAAGTCAAACAATATGTGGCGTTTTTGGAAAGATAGGATTTTGTGCAATAAGTTTCCACTTAGTGATTCTGCCGCACCAAAATAGTAATTATTGCATAGCATTTGTTCATTCAAAATTCATCCCGAGAGTATCTGCTCATAGCGGAAAAGGAAGGAATACAAAAGTCGGCTTTTCTTTATCCTCCCAACCGCATCAAATCATGCTGTCCGACTTAAACGTCCCAATAATAGTTCAAATCCCACGTGGCAATGCCACATCATTTCCTACCTAAACGTCCCAATAATAGTTCAAATCCCACGTGGCAATGCCACATCATTTCCTAAACCATGAATTACTCAATTATCTATCTCTTTCCTTTCCTTTTTCTTTCTCTCTCTCTCTCTCACAACGTCTATGGAGGATCTCGATCCCTCTAATATTAAATTCTAAATTAATTAGGATTTCTAAATTTCTAAAGTTTGTTTGTACATTAATTAGAATTCCAAAAGAGCATAGAGCATACATGGAGAAAAGAGATTGAGACGTTGATATTGAATTGTAAATTAATTAGGGATTCCAATCATTTTTTTTATGGCAATCCGGCAGTTCTATTTCTAGGGTTTCTTTATATTTTTCTTTATAAATCTTCAATCATACCATCAAAATAGTTCTATCCCTTGCAATCTCTTCCCATCTCACTATGTATTTTTAATAAAATATAAAAAACCCATTCAATTTGGATATTGTTCTGGACAAGGGTGAATTCACGAATTGTCAATAGAGGGCTAGCGAAGAATGGGGATCAAAGATACGTAATATTGAAATAGGGTTAGAGGGAGAGAGTCTAGGTCACCTAGAAGACTAGGAATTTAGATATATTGAAGGGAGCTCTCTGATTTGTGCTCGTGGTCGGGATTTAGGGTTTGTTTAGGGCTTTAGGTCTTCGCATCTCACTATGTATTTTTAATAAAATATCAAAAACCCATTCAATTTGGATATTGTTCTAGACAAGGGCGAAATCACGAATTGTCAATAGGGGGCTAGTGAAGAATGTGGATCAAAGACACGTAATATTGAAATAGGGTTAGAGGGAGAGAGTCTAGGTCACGTAGAAAACTAGGAATTTAGATATATTGAAGGGAGCTCTCTGATTTGTGCTCGTAGTCGGGCTTTAGGGTTTGTTTAGGGCTTGGGCATGTTTGGTTGGGCCTTTATTTTAAAATTATGGCTTAGATCTTAGGCTTGTTTGGATGGCCTAATATTTGGGGGCTAATACTACTACTAATTTGTTTTGTTTCGAGATTGGCCCCCAAGCCCCCCTTTCAATCCGAGAGCTCCCTTCAATATATCTAAATTCCTAGTCTTCAACGTGACCTAATGTATGCATTTGCTTTAACTTCCGAAAAATATAATATATACTACTCCGTATAATTTTTTATTTTATTTTATTTTGAAAGGTAAGTTTAAATATTTAAATGACCAAATGTGTACGTCTTAGAACCCAAAGCATGTAGAAAGCTCAAACAAGAAACAACCCCAAATTAGTGCAACAAGGCCAAACCAGCTAACAAAACAAATATCCGCAATTAACGGTTGCTAATGAGCCGTTAATGGTGGGTATTAGTTACACTACGGGTGACTAACCCTAGATTGAGATGATAACGCTTGTGGTGGTGGTGGTGGTGGTGGAAAGCTTAGTCCGGAGGGCGAGGGGGAGGCCGATAGTAGGATGGCAATACGTTCCAAAGCTTAGTCTGGAGGGCGAGGGGGAGGCCGACAGCAGGACGACAATACTTTCCAGGAGGATCCTTCTTGTAATAGCGCAGTTCTCGAAGGAGCCCAATTTGAGGAGAGAGGTTACGGTGCTGCAAATTGTTGCTAGTATAACTCTTTATAATGACATTTTCCCTGTGGTTTTACCCTTTTGATGCACACTAGTATGAACAAAACAAAATCACTGCAAGGGAAGGTAGTTGATCCGAGCCATACAAGAAACAAAAAAGCATAAAAAAGCAATAGCCAAAAGTGAAAGAAGCATCTGGATCACATCTTTTTCATGTAGAACGTTATGTCTGAGTTCAACTTGGAGATGAAAATCTTCTTTCATTTCTCGAAGACGTTTCTCAACAGTGAAGTAGAAATAGATTTTGGATGTTAGTCTTACTAGGAACGATAGTGATTTTAGCGCAATTCTCAACTAAACGTAATGTGGAACCCAATTGCGTGTGAAAATTCTAACTCTTCACTTCATTTAAACTCTTTAACGTGAATATCATTACTCTATTAGGAAAGAAAGAAAGCATTGCTGTTATAATTTCCCCCAACTAATACAAATTGTCCCATGCTCTAATTTGAAGACATTATTGTGATACCCCTCGAATCCGAGACTCGGGTTGATCAAGCCCAGGCCCAAACCCGAGGGAATATCAAACAATTAATATTTTATAACGAACACGGAATACAAAATGAATTAAGAAATGAAAGTTTAAAGCTGAAAAGAGAACTAAAAGATAATCCTTAAATAATTAAATACTTAAATTTGATAAACCAAATATCCATAATTTGAACAACTCGGGAATCCATCTCTAGTGGACCCCTAATAAAAATCTCACACTGAATGAAAGTAAAATGAAAGATAAAATCCAAATCCAAGATCTGGAAAGAAACCCTACATCGTCGATAGAATGGAAGATCGTCTCTGCTCAGCACGAACAAGCTCAAGCCTGGAACTGACGTACACCTGAAAAATAGGAGTGGGTCAGGCCCACGAACAAGTTCTATTCTATTACAATCCAAGCAGAGACTCGATACGCATGTACATACTAAATAGTTCAACAATAACTAATAATCCGTACATAAATATATCCACACTACTGGACTCTCGCTAAGCCATGAAGGGGGTCTCAACCTGGATAGAAGGCATCACACAATACGCACCTGAGTGGGCATGAGTACCTAAACCTAAACAGGGTATACCTCAACCTTCACAGTCAGCTACACATCCAACTGCATATACGCACCCTAACCGTCGACACTGAGACTCAAGCTCATGACACGGTAACATAAAAATATATCTAAACTCCGTTTCTAACCATCCACAAGAAATCCAGTAAGTCACTCGGCGTATTCAACCGTACCGACTTATATATATAAGGAGGATTGTATTTTATAACCCGTGCCCTTACTCCAAAATAGGTAGGACTTAGCAATTTGAGCTAATCCAAACCTAGTATGTCACCGTCCCATACCGGTACATACAATCCAATCCGTCCGATAGTTGATAAAGCATATACAAGTACATAACAATATCAACGAGTCCATATCAAGCATATCAGAATGTAGTAACAACCGTTCTTGAATAGTCCCAACAAATTGATTAATATTGGAAACATAAATATCAATATTAGTTACTCTATTCCACGCATTTAAATAATTTATAAATGCCAAAACCAACAATTCCAACCTAACCATGTTAAAATAGATTAACCATCATGCTTTAATAAATCCAACCACTGATTAAGTACTAACAGTATCAGTGTCAAAACCCACAGTTCCAAACTAAGCACATTAAAGTATACTAGAAAAACATGCTTAATTAATCCAACAATAAGCCGTTACCTGATCACCCACAGGACTGTGTCTGTAAATATAAGTTTATTCCCGGTATCCATAATTAACAGAGCTTAAACAAATGTTATAATATTTATTTCCATGGCATGCATAATAAATCTAGACAATTTATTATACTGTTAAGCTCCTATTCAACAAAATTGACGAATTAAATGTTAAGTTTAATCATCAATTAATCTTTAGCAAAAATACAGATTCCTTGTATGTAGGTATACTCTAAGAATTTGCAATTAGCAGTGCATAAACTCTCACAAGAAATTTTACATTATAATCTGGAAGTTAGAAACTCCAAACCCACACAAGTCTACAAGACATTCGTAATTAACTCCATGTAATCCTAATGATTAATGCTTTGTGTCCAATTCTATGTTAATCTGATCTTTGCATATTTATGTTTACTCTAGACCACTCCTAAACCATCCATTACAGTATTTATTCTCCACTAAAACATATTAAAACAATCACTAGGAAGCCTAATCACTGAAAATTGGAAAAACAACCAACAGAACCAAAAACCTACGAACAAACAACCTGGAGCCGGCTCCAGAATATTGGAGCCGCCTCCAATGGCCCTGGAACCGGCTCCTAGACCATTGGAGCCGCCTCCAGTCCAAGGAGAGCCGGCTCCAATCCAATATGAGCCGGCTCTCTCCCTCCTCTTCTTCGTGTTCTCCTCTCCAGTCGCCGTTTACGCCTCCGACACTTCACAGTATAGGTTTTCAGAGAGTTTAACTTAATCCCAGAAAATTCCAACCCTTAATTCAGTCCTTATTATGCTACTAATATGGATTAAACCAAGAATTAAACAAGAAAGTTCAAAGTTAAACAGTTTACAATTTTAAAACAAATTCAGTTTCAGTGAAACTCTAAACATGAAACAGCTAACGTTTTTATTTTTAAACATGTAATTCATCCTGGAACTATTGAGTATGCAAAGAACACGAGTATAAGGGAGAGAGTAAGGTTAGAACTTGCCTTTTGAGATTTTTGTTAAAAATCTCTACGTTGTCTTCTACGATCTCCGGCGATTCCTCCTACAACTTCCTCTGTTCCTCATTTCTAATTCCACAGACGTGTTTTGGTTTTATTATTTTTTTCCCTAAGCAGACTTCTCTTATATATTTATAGGCAACCAAAACCCTAAGTCCAATTACATCTAAAGTCTGAAACGCGGCCCATAAACACAACCTAGTTTATAAACCCTGTCGGCGCATTAAATTAAACCTAAACAGAACTAAAACC